ACTATTCTACTCAAAATATTCAAAGCTCTTTACTAAATTATATATAAAGTAGTTTTTTCTTGTTGAGGATAAGTATATATATTTGATTTAGTGCACTGAGGGATGAAAGAACGAAACCAATAAGTATGGAATTTAAGGGAGAAAGAATCGACCCGGCCCGTCCTACCTTATGATTATACATGCTTTACAAAAGGTACTCCATTTGAAAAAGAGTTTTTAAGGTCATCTTCTAATCTTTTAATGTTGTTGTTTACTTTGCCATATTTATTATAAAATAAACAGTTTTCTTGTCAATATTTTTGCATCCCAAAAAATGTGTTTGTCTGGTTTTATTGTGCTTACTTAATTTCACTGTTTATTGTAAACAATAACCTATTCTGAATACATGTACGCGGTATTGTACATCAGAAAAATATTTCTAATTCAAATGAAATACCGTCTGCAAAACATGAATAATCATATGGTAGGGCGGGCCGGGTCGATTCCAGCTCCCTTATTTTCTATACTCCTTTAACAAAACCTAAAAGAACTTCTATCCAAGTATGCACAATGTTCCAACTTTCTCTATACACAGAGGGAGAAGTAGAAACAAACCACTCACTTCAAAACAAAATGACTTCAAAACATTTCAACCGAAGAAAAGGGGTTTGAGGTCAAAAACAAATACATAATGAGATTAAAATTCATAAACTAAAAAAAATTCTTGAAATAAACGATTTGTATCCACACTCAATATTTAGAAAATGGCTTAGCAAAAACTAAATATATTCTACCTGGTGAGCCATTACACAGTTTGCACACAGAAAATTGCTGCAGTCAAAACATCTGAAACGAAAAATTGTCAAAAAAAATAAATATTTTAACTGTTATTTTCAAGTTTTGATGCAATCCACGAAGTTGAACTTTAAAATATATTGCCTTATAAATTATTAAACATGCTTGGAAGTTATTTCGAATCAATACATCAATGGCTTACCACTAACTCTCAACGCACTTTTCTTTAAGAAAATGTTTGAAAGAAGCATATGATTAAACAGTTCAATTCTTACGACCAGACCAGGAGGGAAAAAGACCCCCCCCCCCGTTAATTGAAAAAAATAATTTAAAAGGGAGCTGAAGACTTTTGGACATTTCCCCTACCTCAAATTCAACAAAGAAAAACCTTAAACCATAAATGTCTTCATATGGATTTTTTTAAAGAAAATAGATATCCCTGAAATACTGTATTCAAGATTTGCAAGAATATCTAGGGATGCTTTCATCTGTATTAATGCAGTAAAATGACGGTAAACTGTTAGCATTAAGTCTAAGTATGGGGCGTCAAAAACCAAAAAAAATAATACTTAATTTAAAAAAAGTTATATTATATGAAAGCTATCAAAGGTTGATTCCAGAACAATTTCTCCGATACTTAAATCAACGAGTTTTTAATGAGTTTATTTTTAGGACAGCCTGAGAGAGAATTCCCAGCTTTTAGACAATTAAACTGGATTCTCTGTTCTCTCAAGTACCCGGAGAAACTTAACAGCCAACTGTTAAGGGACCTTACTACCTAGATACTCAACTATCTTGTTTTCTAGCTATCTAGCTAACTAACTAACTTTCTAGCTAGATAGCAATCCGTCTCTACCTTATATATAAAGCTATCTAGTAACGTTTTAAGTAATGTGCAGTTAAATTTTCTCCACATAAAATAATTTTTTTTTTTAATAGTGATCACTGATCAAGGGTCTTCTGTAGACCATGTACAATAAAAATTGGCCTTAAAAATGACCTGGCAACAGCTGAGCTCTCCCTGGACTTGCATCCCGTGCATCCTGCTAGGTCCAGTCCACAGTCGGAGCTGGAGACCCCGTAGTCAACCAGTAACCCTGATACACCCTGGGGACCAAGCTGACAGTCAGATTGACAGCTAGGGCATGTAATCTTATCCGCATGCTCCTAAATATTAAAATTAATCTAAAATATAAGAACACTACCTTAATCTTAAAGGGGCTTCTGACGACTCTTGACATAATTGACTTTAGTGACCCCCGGATAGAGGTGTCCTTGTTCATCTAATTGAAAATTGATTTTTTTCATTCGTTGGTTCATTTTAAATGTCACTAGCAGAATTGTGCAGCATTGACAAGGAAGAAAGTTAATAGAATCAACAAGAAAAAAAATAACAAATTCTGTCTTGTTATCACACAGATAAATCTATGTATCATTGTGAATCAGGTATGTAAAGATGGTCTAATAAAAATTATTTTTTAAGTTCTTTAAAAGTACTTAACAAAATTGATGCAACGCCCTTTAAAGAAATGCTAATCTAGAAATGTCGGTTAGCAACATGATAGTTAATATTCCTCCCCCCTCCCCCCCTGATGATCTACAGATAGAGGATGCTAGAAGAAAGACTGCTAGGTTTCGAAGCAAATGATTAGTTGGAAGAACTGAGACAGGTTCCTCAATTATTTACAGCTTAAACCATTCGGATAAAAGGAATATATCCGGAGCAGGGATAAACTCAGCCAAAACCACCAGCTTGGATTAATCCTACCTCCAAACTTTACTTTTCTATCTTGTTTTACAGGTTAAATCATGAAGTTTAGATATATTTCCCCCTATACTCTAGCTAGCATCATTAAATATTTATAGAACTGGCTGGGAGGGGAAGAAAAAGATGAATAGATATATACATGTCCGAAATAAATTCATTCTTGCCAAAAACTGAAATAAATAAAGTTGCCAAATTGTGAGCAGAGTTTCTTTCACTGGGTTGTCTGGTTTATACATTGAACTATGTGGCTGGAATGGGAACCAGAGGGAGAGGGGGGTGTCTTTTTTCCCAAAATATTTCTTATTGTCTAATAACCACCCAATTTGGATAAAATAGCCCACCCAGGTACTTGGATATAAGAACAGTGTTATGAACTTGATGGGTTATCTAAACGCTAAACCTGAACTGAGTTTAACCCATTTCAATCAATTATTCACACATTTGTTGAATCCGACGGGTCCATTAAACAATTAGCAGCTAGGACATAATCCACACCTCAGCCCAGACTTTATATTCAAAATGTTTAAAACACTCTTTCAACACGAGAAATTCTATTCATAAAATTATAATGGGATGGGAACAGATGTACAGTCTTATGTTTTACACAATGATGTGCTGCAGTGTTATCAGGTCAAAATAGTAACCAAAGGAAAACTTTCTGAGTCTAAAACTTCCAAAATCCCTTTCAGAAAGGAATTAATACAAATAGAAATGCAAGGTGGAAGGGCAGAATGGCCCATTTACTACAAGCACTAGGCATATTTCACAGCTAGATCCTAGTATTTATTTCAAGATGTTTTGAGACTCGGGCTATCTTAATCTCTTTAAATGAGATCTAAGGTAAACATTGCCTCTGAAATTTATGAGAATAAACACTCTCTAGTGCTGGAGAGAGAGGGGGGTCCGTAGTGCTCAGCCTTCATTAATAATTGATTGTTACTACCTTAATTATACAAAGTAATGTGAAGAAATTAATAATACACTAAATTACCCTGCTAAAGAGAGAAGGAACAAACATGTTTTTACTGTACAAAAATACATATTAAGAGTAATGCAATAATGTTAAGTGACCTGTCAAAGAAAGGGACAGTGCCATAACAAATTCACAATGTAACACTGCAAACATGTATGAACTTATTTATTGACTTGCCTATACAGGAATAGGGCCGTGATTTTACACTTTCACTTAAGAAACAGAAAAACTTATTTTTTCCTTAAAAAAGTTTATTTGAAGTTGTCCAATAAGGCATATTTATCTCTCTTCCTTTCTTGTTCTTAATACTTGAAAGGGAAGGGTAAANGAATGGAAGCTGGGTAGAAGAATAAGAATACTGAGTGGAGAATAGTTAAAGAAGTCAAGAATGGAAGTTAGATAGAAGAATAAGGATGAGGAAGTGTAGGGAGGGGATCCTACAGAATATTGTAAAAGTGGAAAAATCTGTTTCCAATATATTTTCCCACAGTTACATCTCAGATAGAAGAGAGGGTCTAGCATACACACAGGCTTCTTCTATTTAAATATATCAAACAAAACTTTCAAGTTTGTTTCCTCAAACACTTATTTTACTCAATCAGAGGCCAAATTTAATGAAATTGTACCACCCTGCTAAACTATCAATCACCGGTTAAAATTGCGCCCTGGTTCAAATCTCAAAACACTGATTAGAATTTCAAGTTAAGCCAACCATGTTTGAACCCCATCCGCACAAAAAGTTTATAAAATAAAATGTTTTTAATAAACTAGCTTGGACTAGGCCCTTGATAAACTTATGATGATGTTAAGGTTTAAATTACTGATTCAGTTCTTAGAAAATTATATGTCTCAAGTAGCTGGATTACAGAAGTTAAGAAGTTTACCATTTTAAAGAATTTTAAAATAAACTTGAAGTTATCCAAACCCAATAGGTAAAAATTTCAGGATTGCAAACCCAAAAAAAGGATTTAAACCCTTAAAAAGGATTAAAAAAGTATCTAATCATACTTCAGCGTTTAGGCAATCCCTAAGTCACAAGATACACACTGATTTGATAAACTGTCAAGTTTTGAAATCCTTACTGTTGTTACTTAATCACTTTAAATTGGCTAACATCATTGTATTCATAACTGTTTTTAAAGAAACTCAAGGTTTTACTTTTTAGAGATTAATTTAGTTGGGTTTAAAGGTTACCCTTGATCTTATTCTCAGCAGATTAATGTACTGTATAACTATCTTATTCTCAGCAGATTAATGTACTGTATAACTATCTTATTCTCAGCAGATTAATGTACTGTATAAATATCTTACTCTCAGCAGATTAATGTACTGTATAACTATCTTACTCTCAGCAGATTAATGTACTGAATAACTATCTTATTCTCAGCAGATTAATGTACTGTATAACTATCTTATTCTCAGCAGATTAATGTACTGTATAACTATCTTATTCTCAACAGATTAATGTACTGTATAACTATCTTATTCTCAACAGATTAATGTACTTTATAACTATCTTATTCTCAACAGATTAATGTACTGTATAACTATCTTATTCTCAACAGATTAATGTACGTTCTAACTATCTTATTCTTAGCAGATCAATGTACTGTATAACTATCTTTTTCTCAGCAGATTATTGTACTGTATAACTATCTTATTCTGAGCAGATTTATGTACTGTATAACTAAGTGACCTAACAGTCTATGTTCACAACATACCTGAGTTCGTTCCAGGCAAGTTTGACAGAAAGTATGAAAACATGGGAGCACCTGAAAAAAACCAAAATTAAAATAAAATTTTTATCTAATGGTCATAATTGACAAAAGAGTAGTGACCGTATTGTTGTTAAATTTTTGAGCAGTAATATTTGCCAAGTTGTATTACTAGTTACAAAATTAGGTTATAAAAAGTGTTTTTATTAAATATGAATAATCTTATGAAAATTTATTTTTTTTTACCTTAGGTGACACAAAAGAAGAGTTGCAGACGGAACACTTGGTGTTGCATCCAGTAAAGTTTCCCCCGCCAAGGGGAGAAATAGACAACCCTACAACAAAACAAAATATTCATGTGATATGTTAAAAAACCTGGAAAAAATGGCAATGAAGGTTCAGAAATATTATTAAACAGGGATGAAAATTTTACTGGAAAATTAATACCGTTTTATGAAAACGAAAAAATACATAATTTCCTGAGACAATTCTCCCACAACAATATTCCCACTTAAAGATTGCAAAAGCATGACTCATTGAATGCATGCAATAAACATATGTTCAATTCTCTTGCAAAACTCGCAAATTTTTAGTAGTTCAAGATAAGAAGTATTACATAGTCATATTGTGCATGAAATATCAATGTTACATAAAAGGCAACACAGTTTTAAGACATCATCAATAATGCAGACATAGCCTGTGGTATAAAAAGATTGAAAGATTGAACGATAATGTATTTGAGGAATTTTCTTTGCATCTTACAGGAAGAACTTCAAACCATAATAAATTGGTGAATTAAAGCAACCTTACAACTTGAGTCCTTGCAACCAATTTAAACCTGGTCCCATGGCCCATGTTTACTCCGGTAAAGATGGTAAAAATGTTGTATTAGGGTGTTAAAAGTTAGAAAATTCTTCATAACAAGAGAAATGCATTAAAAATAATTCTTATTTTTAAAATTTGTCAATTTTTCTGCTGAAGCAAACAAAAAAATATTAATACACATTATCAAGAGTTTAGAATTTGAAACAAATTTCAAACTTTTGATTAATATTTGATCTAGTTTAAATTCTAATAGGTGGAAGGGAAGGGGGGTGTCTTCACTTTCTCAAAGAAATTCTTTTTCTCGCAGATCTAGTCCCCTCTTCTAACTTGAACTGAAGATTGATTCCTCCCTGTACAAGACATTAAGGATGCATTGAATTCTCTGGGATGAGAATAAGACGCTTGACAACCAGAATATATCCCCAGAATCCTCACAATAAAACCTTCCAAACCAAATGTTGAACAGAAAACAAAGCCTTCAGGAAATAATGTCATTACTGTCATTGCATCGATACATCTTCTCAACAAAAGATAGAAGATTTTAACTTCTTAAATGATTTGATTTTTTCGTAATGAAAATAACAAAAAGATTTCGCAGAAATTATTCGTTTTCCTTGGCAGTTTTTTTTCTTAAAAATTATAGGCAAAATTTTTGATTTTGTTTTATTTACTTTTATTACATATTCAATAGTTTTGAAATAATTGTTAACCAAGTTTGAACTGAACACAGGGAAAGTTATTCAATTAATATTAAAGGCTGAATCATTCGCTATAAACTTTTTAATGAACATAAATATGATGAACTTAAAACAAAAAACAGCTTTTAATATTTCAACTTGCTATTACAAATTGTATCATCAAGTAACTAACAAGGTAGTCAAAATACCATGACATTTTACAGTTTAAACAAAATTGTCAAACATAATTTTATTCCCCTAGGATACATTTATATCAATGGACATTGGACAGTTTCCTTAACAAGGTTTTTACAACAGATAAAAAAATATTTCTATATTTATTAGATAAAAACAAAATTAAAGAAAAAGCAAAAAGAATGTAAAATATTTTCCCCAATATCTTGAAGTAGCTCTTCACATTTCTGCCGTTTTATCCGGCCAAATTCAAGTCAAAAATTGGTTCTTTTTACAAAAAAAAAATAAAAAGCTACTGGGAAAAATATTTAAATAATAGAAAATAAATCTTAATTTAGAACATTTCCAACCAATTTAAAACATTAAAGGCTATTCCAAACCTGCTTAAAACATTGTCGAAAAGGGGGAAGACCATTTTTCATTAAGTTTGTTTGTATGCTTTAATAAACAAAATTTTCCACCTGAGGATGAACTGGCTGATCCAGTGCTAGCTCTGTCTATTGACGAGGATGACGAGGTTGCGGAGGATACTCCTGAGGACGAGAAAGTATGAGGATAAGAGTCGAGGCCATGTTCTACATAACCAGACCCTTATTAGAATGTTTCTCTTTAAACAAATGATAGAAACCTGTAAACATCCTCCAAAAAGCTAGAGAAGACCAAGTATTTTCAATGTACTTACCCATAAAGATTAAAAAATCCCAGATCAAATTTAAAGGCTGTGGAAATTGACCTTTTTTAAAATTTTATTTATTAGAAAGAAAGAAATTTCATTATTTTTTTTTCTTATGGCTTTATGTTCTAAAAAAGAAACAACAAATACCATTTTTCTGTAACTCCTAAAATTAAATGTAAAACCTCAAATCGATATTTTAAATCAACAAAACCCTGTTCAAGGCTGATTACGAATTAATAATTAAAGCTTTCCAATTTGAAATAAAGTTAAAAGTTCCTAGACAAATGAACCTTTAATAAATAATTAATACTTCATTAAATGGAATTAATTATTTAAAGCAAGGCCTCTGATTAACCTACATTAATAAAAAATACATAAATTTTAAATAAAATAAAATAAATCTTTTTCGGGAGGTAAGAGCGTCAACAATTTCTTAATAAACTGATAAATAGAAGCTTCAAGCGTCAAAGATATCCAGCTCATGTTGAGAATATCAAGCACAGTATATTGTATATACAAGGCTTAGAGGAATTTATCTAAGTTTATCTTGATAGAGTTTCCTTAAATTTACTTCAAGTTTCTTGGCTCAAATTTCATTTTAAGTTGCAAACTGGGTCCTCCTTCTAGAGCATAACTCAAGTTTGTATTAAATATAACTTTAAGGATCTCTTTACGGGAATTATGCAAAATTTACAAATCAAAGAATTATTGAAACAATTTAGTATCAAGATCAATTTAGGGCTGTACAGTGTACACTGTACAGTAAGGAAAAAGACTAATTTAAGAAACGGACTGTACACTGAGTGACAAGATTAATTTTAAAAAGGGACTGTACACTGTACAGTGAGTGACAAGATTAATTTTAAAAAGGGGCTATTCCTGAGTTATCGCAGAAGGCCAGGGCGCCGTTAAGGCTGTCTATTGAGGGAGTGGGGGAGCTCATAGCCCCTGATTTCTGTCTCACCATGCCTTGTTTTGATTTCTAATCATAAGGCCTGAACCAACCTGAAATATTAAAAAATAATGAGTTTACTTCTACTTTGTTGTACTTTAAACGCGTACAAATTTACTAAACATTTGTACTTTTTGAACTTTGTAACTACACTTGACACTAGAGTACACTGTCAAGTACTATAATATAGAACTGACAAAAAGCTTAACGAAATTATTAATATAATACTAGGAATCTTAACTTTTGTGAGATAATTCTAACATTCTGTTCTAAATAGCTAACGTAACGTGGTTTGGTTAATACAGAAAAATCTAACAAATGTTCTGTTTGAACTATGGAGTGTACTGTATACTTAAAGTTGGTGTATACTGGAGACAGATTACGAAGTTTAATCCACTCTGAAGTAGGGTTGTTCATCGTTCTTAAAGTTTCAACACTTTTACAAAGCTTCATAAGAATCTCAGATACAAATCCTGTTTCAAAATTGCATACTAGACAAGTTTGCTTTAAATATACAAAGCAAAATTTGTACACTGCAATCAAAGATATAAACCAAACGATTTTTTCGAAATAATTAGTAAAATCTTTTCCGGTTTCCGTTTTGAAAAATCGTTTTGGTTAATATATTTGATCAGAGTAAACCATTTTCTTTGGGTAACAAAAGCAATTTTGAAAAAGGATTTGCATCTTAGATTCTTGTTATTTCTTTTCAAGTTCAAAAACGAGCCTAAAAACGATGAACATTCCTACTCTGAAGAGAGTATAGAATAAAGCAAAACCGAACTCCATCAACCACAAAAGATCCAAACTTTAAAATCTTTTGAAACTAAATTTATTTTCCCCCCCCCCCCCCACTTCCAACATGGTGAAAAGGCGATAAAAGATAAAAGTGAGAAGCTTTTTCCGGCAACATTGTGGAGAAAATTTATTCTCTTTTAGAATAATATTTATTTTGTAAATCCAATATACATTATACATTATACATTATACATTATACATGCGTGGCTTGGAATAAATAATAACAATCTTCATAAAATATAAAAATGGAATCTTTATAATATTGCATTAAACCTAGTTTGAGGAAGAACAAGATTTACCAAAGAACGTTTTGATGATAACAATTATTAAAAACAAAACAATGTAAAGTTGAATAACACTTAATCACTGCTAAAAATGCTATTAAATATTCACCTTTAAACTATATAAAATAAACTGATGCTTGATTTAAAAATATATAACTGTATATAGTCAATAATAGACAGTTATTAACTTACTAATTGTATATTCAAGGTTCTACTTTAACCTCTAAACATCTGTACGCCCTTCAAGGATAATTACACAGATCTTAGATAATATATATTAAATTCATCATTCAGAAAAATAAATCACACAGGAAGATTGAAAAGGGGTAAAATTAAGTAAAATAACGGTAAATCGACGAGTCATTTTTTGATAAAATTTGTCTTCCTGAGTCTGAATTTAATGAATTTGAGCCGCGTCTCAAATCCGCAGAAAACCGGTTTTAATTGAGCGCCGGCTTAAATCTTGAAAAAAATGAATACAATTTTGGGTGGAACCAACCATATTTGAGCCCTAGCTTAAATTTTAGCCGCAGCTCAAATTCTTTAACTTTTGCCTCAGGGCGACTAGTACCCCTTTTCTAGTTACAATTTTGGCTTTAAAAAGTTTTCTATCATTATTTCATATAGCTAATAAAATTCACCAGTATGCCGAGTATGCTGATGTTCTTTATTGATTGTAACACTAATAGCTGTAATAAATGTACAAACCCAGGACCCTATTTAGCTGCACACTGTTAAATATTTATTAAGTCGTTAAATAGTCGAATGCATGAACAATTTCATAGTTTCCATGAACTTTTTTGGTTGGCTATTTTCCAATTTATTATATTAAACATTTATACCTTTTAATTTTTATGCCCGTTTTTTAGTCCATCACAATAGAACTCTTTATCTATCATGTTTTTTAAGCATAAAAGATTGTGTTCGCGAAAAATAAAAGGGGTAAAAGCTGAGTTCAAACCAAACTTGGATTGAATCTTGACTAATTTTACTTCAATCTATATTTTCAATATAGTGGTCACATTTATGTTTATATCAAAGAGCTGAGAAGTCCAATAAATTAAATTTGTCCGATCCCACTCCGTTAAAACAGTTCAAAAAGTATTGCTGTGATGTATATATAAGGCTAGCTGAAGTTTAAGGGTTTATTATTATTATTACTTTGACAACCCCTATTGGCGACCAGTTGTGTAGGGCCCAACCTAAACCAAAACAAAGTACTTCAAAAGTATGAAAAAGTTAACAATGATAATGTCAAACCCAGCTTGCTTGTTGTAAAAACTCTAATAAAATTAAAGGGCAGGGTTCGTCTTTGCGAGATAAAGGTTGCATACAAATTTAAATTTTAGTAAGAAACCCCTGTTTTTAATCCAAACAACAAACTAGTTTTTAATCCTTTGATAGTTGATAGATTGATAGTTCTATATGAAAACTGAAAGCAGAGAGAAAGGGTATAAAATAAACGTTGAAATAATTTACGCAATGGATTAGTCAGCGTTAATTTTTAGAATTTTTAAGTCGTTTAAAAGGGCGTAGTTAACATATGTTTTTTTGGTTTCATTTGAAAAAATTTGATACACCCTTACAGTGGGAAGGGGTATGAACCATCTATTCAGGGTGCGTTAACCTTACACCATGGTATAGTGACCTTCCTTTCTTAAACAGGGTTACCCACAAAGGATGAGACTTCAGAGACGATTGTACGGAATTTACACGGTCTGGTATCCTTTATATTCATGATTTCCTGCAACTTAAACTTTCTTATGTATGCGTAATTTAAAGTAACCCTCCATGCACAGATGACATTTCCAAATTCACAACGGTACCCTAGAAAACTTTATCTTAACAATAAAATGGAAGATATTTTCGTTTTTCTAGGTCAAGTGTTATATTATGATAATTCCTGTCAGTTTTCTTGCAGTAGATATATGCTAGTCAATTGAAAATAGTCAGTTATTCAAATTAGAATCATTGATATCTAAACTTGATCAGAAAACCCTTGTAAATCGGAAAAGCCACTTTTAAAATAAATATTATTGATAGATTAAAAAGATTATGTTCAGTACACATTTAGATTTTAAAAAGCATTTAAAAAGTTTTCCGAAATTCTCCAGCTTTACAAATCTATTTTATCATAACCATTTTCTGTTCCAAATTTAAACAACTTCAGGCTTCAGTATTTAAACAACTTCAGGTTTCAGTGAACAGTTAGTTAAAAATAAAAAATTACAAATATTATCGATAAATTGCAATAAACGATAAAGAAAGCTCTTCGTAAAATACAATAAGGCCAAAAGCGAGCAAAAAACAAATATTTACGGCGCCAAAAAAATGACAACTTATTTAAACAAAGATTGTGTATGTTAAGGGTACCGTTGTGAATCGGGCATTGCAATCTGTGCATGAAGGGTCACTTGAAATTACGCTTACAGTCCCTTTAAGCTCAGTATTTAATCATAATTGCAGTATTGATTGTAAAACTATACAGTGCCACCACTGTTATTATTACTGTGTTATATTTTCATCGCGCACCGTTAGGGATAAATAATAACGGATTAGTCTAACAAAAAGATCAAATTAATCCGGGTGGTACAAATAAAATAATTCATAATATAACTTTAAATATGTAATAAAGGAAAATAACTGAATAAATCGCCTAAAAGATTTGGTATTTTAGAATTAGTTTATGAATATATAAAACGTACTTCTGTTAATATGGCGTACAATAACTTAGTCATAAATTATACATTTATTCAAATTTAGTTGGTCGTTAAAGTAATTTTTAAGACTATTTCATTTGTATCCAGTAAACGTCGATCGGGCCCAAATTTTTTGTGGGACCTGACGTGACCCAGGAAAAGGTTTATAAATGATGAAAAATTAAAAAATTAGCCTCCAACAAAATACAGTTTTAATAAATTTTGTAAATCCGCGAATTTTTGTTTTTGTTTTAAAATGATATACAAAGAAAAAATGTTTACAATTGAAAAAGGTGGTAGTCTTTGTGTATATACTCCATTAAAAGTGATCATTGTTACTAAAGATCCCTTAGCTTTAATAACAGAACAATTATTTAAAGGTTGGCAGAAATCGACAATTTTACAGGTTTCCGAATTTTTACTCATAAAAAAAAATACTTGAAATTTCTGGAGGAAAATATATATTTTAAAGAATTCCTCTACTAAATTCACTGAGTAGAATTCCTCCCGATAATCATATTCCTAAAATTTCCGAGGAATTGCAAAGAATTCCCCTACTTAGTTCACTGAGGAATTCCGCCAGTAACGAACTCTTGCGGAATTCTTTGAAAACTGCATAAAATAAATAACTTCACTAAATTCACTGTGAGGAATTATGTTACATATCAAATTCCCTCTGAGGAATTCTCGCCGTTTTATTCCAAAAACTTCCAATACATATATTCTAATTAGATCTGTTAAATAACTAATTATTGAAGATCTGAACGCACTGAAGTGAGACAACTGCCAGCTGGTTTGAACAACAGCTTCTTGGCAACACAACAGCTGTTTTAGAGAGCCCCGCAGCTGCCCTGGAGAGCTGAGCAGCTTGGCCTTGAAAACAGGCGCACTGGGCGCGTCTCTGCAAGAAGATGGCTTGAAATATGCTTGAAAATGCTTGGAGTATGCTTGAAACTACTTAACCGTTACAAAAATAGCCAAGATATAAAATTGACGATATTAATTAATATTATCTACAAGATTATCATACTAAAAATATACATTTATAGAGAAAGATTTAGATTATTTATACTGAGTCATATGATTTGAACTTGAAAAAAAACAGGTTTATGGCTCTCATGATATCATTCAGTCAGCTGAAAACACTTATTAACAAATCAAAACAACAATTAAGAAAATTATCAGCTGTTCAAAATTTAACAAAAACTAAAATATGTTATTGCGAAATAGTTAATACATTTGTATGTATATATAAAATGTCTAAGAATACAA